TCGTTTTACCGAATTCCTCGTTATAACGAATCATAGATGACTCCCCCGTGCCTTCGGTATAACGGGGTCCGACTGTACTCTAAGAACGATTTTTATAAAGGACGGTTTACAATCACCCAATAAAATTGCAATTTTACGGAATACATAAATCACGTGCGATCAGTCATACAATTCACGGACCTGGATTATTCAAAATCATGGCTTCAAGTCACTCTGATAAAGAATGGTTAAAAAAAAGTATCGAAGATAAAAGCATCCAGTTTTATGCTTATCACGACTTCATTGAGTCAGTATGCATCGGCATCGGACGATATGCTGCAGTTTTCAAAGCGAAATCCAGGACACTTGATAGAATAATCGCATACAAGCCTCTTCATTCAGAGAATGAAGATGAGATGTTCGAACATGTGGTGAAGCAGGTTGGTATTATGATGGCAATGTGTGCATTCGGATATTTTTGTTTACTTAGATTACGCAACTGTATGTTTTAGCTTAAGATTTTTCGCGAAGTCGATGAACATCCCAACATCATCCGTTTCTTCGGAATGAGCGAGGGTAAGCATCGAGTAAGATAATATCACGGTATAATCATAATATTAACAGATTATTATGTTATTTAAATTAAAAGACCCGCTAAGTAGATATGTTTTGGTCTTTGAATATGCGGCATATGGTTCATTAAAACGTTATCTATCAGACGCTTCGATTAAATTGGACTGGTTTGCGAGATGCAAGCTCGGTATAGATATCATTGAGGGATTACGATACCTCCACAGACTTGACATTCTGCATAAAAATCTGGTAACTATCTCTATTGTTTTATAATCTATATACGGCTTCGGATATTCACACAACTTGGTTTTATATTAGTCTCCACAAACTATTCTGATTCATGCCGGCGTGGCGAAGTTAACAGACTTTGGCTTATCTGATCTGGTCTTACAGCAAAAAATCTGTTCCGACGTTCAAGGAACACTTCCATATATTGATACCAGATGCTTATGTGACACTTCTACCAATTGGGACGAAAAGACAGATATATTTAGCTTTGGGATGGTGTTATGGGAGATCTCCGGCGGGAAGAAGCCATGTGATGGACTCCAGAATCATGATGATATTGTGTGCTATAGGGAAAGTGGTAATCGGGATGCTCCGGTTTTAGGAACCCCTACAGAATATATCACATTATATTCAGCATGTTGGCATAGACGGCGGGATAAAAGACCGTCTTGTGAGCAGGTTTTTGATAGCTTATGCATGATGCCTCCACCTGTTAGTATACTAATTGCTATAACAAAAGCTACTATGATAACTTTGTTGCTAAATTATATTATTTTTGATCTCATCATGATTACAGGATTTCCGAGTTGTAGTCGGTATTGGTACGTGTATGGAATAAAAGATAAAGGAAGATTGTAAATGTGGGTTTGGTTGGAATCAATGCCAAAAATAAGAAAAAAGCAACAATTAACTTTCTTTCGACTTGAATTGTAGACTTTGGGACATACTTCTCTGGTAAAGTACTATAATATAAAACACGCACTAAGTATACTTAAGTTTCGAGACTAATGTGTTATATTCTCGATAGCCTTTGCCTTTACTTACAGAAATAGTTCGTATGGAATCGAGAGCCAAGGGGATTGGTATGAACGTATTAAAAGCCTGGGTTATATAAAAATATCATCTTATCTAGTAAATAACGCTCATAATTTTCTCACTCTCATTTTCCAGGCCGTCCAAAAGTGTGAGAGAGCCGGATATTCGAACACCCACCGTTCTCGAATATGACAACCAATTGAATGTAATCAGTTGGGGACATTATGCTGAGCGTCGTCCCATAGGTAGACAGATAAGGAATGCACAATATCAAGGCTTTATAGTACGTCTGTTCAAATCGTATCTGGGAAACATGGCACAAGATGAAAAACCGCGATTACCGAAGGGCCTGGACTATAAAAGAGTAATCACTGATTATCTTAAAGAGCTGAATAAGGTAGAGTTTTTAATTATCCGTTTGTTCATTGTTTATAGATTCTGTTAATCAATGTTTTTACGTAGGTTATTAAGAAGGCACTACAACACATACAACACAGATGGTCGTGCCTTGACCGCTCTCAAATATTCAAAATTATGACTATACCAGCCGAATATGATGAGAAGGCACGGTATATAATGCGTGAGTGCGCATTTAAGGCAGGAATAATAGACACTCTACACTCGGAAAGCTTACAGTTTATTACTGAACGTAAGAATATACTGTAACTAATATTAATCTGAATTCGCTGTATTTCTATACGTTAACAATAATACTACTCTTAATAGCGGAGGCGACCGCGATCTATTGCTTCAGATCGTCGGAAAAACATAACCTTACACCAGGCTGTAAGTATAGAAATATTGCATTTACGTATTCACTGGGATTACGGTCACTAATACAAAGCGGTCTACAGCTACTTTCTTGGTGGTAGACTACGGTGTGGATACAGTAGACCTGGTAACATGGACTGTTCTTCCTAATAACAAACTATCCATCACCGAACGCACTAATGACTTTTGCGGTAGCACCTACATTGATCGTGAATTCATGAAATATATTGCATCAATAGTAGGCAAATTGGCCATGCGTACTTTCGAGGAAAACCACGTTACCTTTTGGCTGATTCAGAGTTTCCGTGACGATGCCGAATATATGCTCAAACACAATGACGGCTATACGAAATCTATCGATATTTGCGAACTTTGTTCACCTTTGAAGAAATACGTTCAAGGCGACGAAAGAAAACGAATGGAAGCCGCAGACTGGGAAATCGAGCTGGATTACGAGACTGTTAAAAGCATCTTTGATCCAGTTGTTGAAAGAGTTTTATATTTAATGAGAATCCAACTGGAGAAGTCGAGAGCTACATCAACAATATTCTTGGTTGGCGAACTTTCAAAGTATTTATTACGGAGAATTAAGAGTGAATTCTCAAGCAAAGTTAGTGATATTGCAGTTCCAGTAGGGCCTCTTGTTGCTGTCTCACGGGGCGCAGTATATTATGGTGTGTGTAAGAAAAAGCTTCTTCGTACGTACAGAAACGGTGAATTACTGGGATAGCATGTGCGGTTGTTATATAACCCGTAATTATGTATCATTCATAACAGGTCAGGATATATTAAACCTCGATGATACTGCAGGACAAAGTATCGTCGAACCAAGTCTCGGTGTGAATGCGACAACAATTCGTACCCTGAAACACACATACGGTATTGAAATTAGGTCAGAATGGAAACCAGGAGATCCGCCTCAACGTCGTACTGCTGATGGTCATATATATGTCTTCAAAGCTCTTGCTCAGCGTGGAACAATAGTCTCCGACGATTGCGAATTTAAATATGAATTGATGCCAACATCATTCCCGCATCAGACAGTAATGAAGATTGAGTTATACATCACTTGTGACTATACAGCAAAATATTGTGATGAACCCGGCGTAAAGCTGTTTGCACAGCTGTCTGTAGGTGAGTTTGATGATTAGAAATATTAAACATATACAAAAATGACTATGTTGTAAACGCTATACTTATTGTAATTTTGTAAACACAAAGCCATCCTTACGTCAACATTCTTGCTAACAATTATTTACTATAGAGTTACCTGACGCTAAAGTTAAACTCGATCGGACAGTAACTGTTAGCCTTATATTTAGAAAAAAGGAAACAAGAGTACAGTTCCGAATGGCCGGGAAGACTTATGGAGAAACTTCACTCGCCCGTGATCTGTAGAAACACTAATTTATTGATTCTGGATTTCGTAAGTCTTAAATATCCGATTTTTATTCACTATCTAATAAAGCACGTGGACAATGGTTTATAAATTATTCCTTTATGGTATTAGTTCCTTTATCAATTAGTTTAATTTTTGCCTTATTCATTTAAATTTTAAATTTCATTATAACGGCAGCTGATGATTGCAGGAAGCAATATGCTTTGATAATGAGTCTTTAAAAATATTTTAGTCTAAATGGAAGAGAGGATGAAAGATATAATTTAGAAACTCTGACAACATTCCTTCTTTGTGTACCAATTATCGTCATTCTCTCGCCAGTTTTTGTAATTAGCCAACAACGCTATCATAGACATTTACGTCTTCAATCGGATTCAGAAAAAATACTAGTTTATTTTTACTAACAGTTACGATCAGTTTTAAAAATTAAAAAGAGTCGGCAAAGGTTGCGAAAAAAATATTTGCCACGCTCACTTTGACATTTGTGTTACCGTCTGGAATTGGGGGTATTTTTTTCGCGCATTAGATTGTCTGAGATAAAAAAATACAGTTTGAAAAAAAGTTATGATACTCGAGCAAGCACAGGTGAGAAAGTCATTGACATTTAGTTTGTCTGACCCTAATAGTATAGTAAATAGATATGTTCATATAACGTGCGAGAAATGTTCATCTCCTTTATGCGGAGATTACGAGAGATCTATTAGTTCGACGAGCGATTGTGAGGACGTCGTGTGTAAATAGAAAGAGCCACATGCTGTATAACAGAATAATGATGATGTATACCCGCGACGGAATCTATTACAATATTTAATGAAGCAAGTTAGACTCATTTGTTGCGTCATTAGGAAATTTCTATAAAAGCATTTTGCAGGTCGTAAACAAAAGTTTTACTGCCAACATATTATATTCTATACAACATACTGTAGACTACTCGTGTTTTCGCACAAAAAATCTCACATTTTAACCATTTACGTGTTGCGTCTAGTCTGCATATAGAAATCACTCACTGCCATTATTTTTATTTCGCAAGTGACTATAGTTTAAAACATCTTATATAGATCATTAAGATAAGCCGCGCAGCTAAAAGCAAAGCTTTATATATGTAATTGTGTCAATTCTAAATTGATGTGTGTCAGTTTGAAATTTTATGTCAATTGGAATTGCATAATTTATGATTAAGCGTTTTTTTATTATTTATAATCTATACATATATGTCAACCATAATGTATCATATACCCAAGCAAGTTCGTGCTACTCACACTTTAAACATTAATTCGTTCAGCAAAAAAGTAAACTCATTACAATTACTTTTTGCGCGCCGATTTATTAAACATAATATTGTCAGTGGTCGGAGAGCTATTTTTTTCGGCCACTTTTCTGACGAGTATAGTGTTTAATTATCAGAAAATCAAATTTTTGATAATGGCGCAACAATCGTTTCCAACTGTTTATTTGTATCGGCAACACATTGACTTCATACAATGTCATGCTTCGCGCGGACATAATTTCTACACGACCTACATAGAACTATTTACTATAATTGTTGGCATGATTCAGCATTTATCTGCAAACTATAATAGCTTACGTTTTTGCGTTAAATTGATGTTAACGTTTGATTGTTACCGTTTGTTAAGCGGAAAGGACGAAGAGATGGTAAGAATAAAGGTTTAGTGAAGCAATGGGAAGGACGGAGTTATGTAGAAATCTATTAAGAAGAGGCGTTGAACGAGCGGAAAGTCTTAAATGAGGCGGAGATAACTACAAACGTTGAGCTGACTATCCACGGAAAGGAATATGTGAAGATAGAAGGTCCAATATATGCATTTAATAATCTTCTGCTTTAAGAAAGACGCCAAGCTTAAAGGCTTTCTTCCACCAACATTAGTATTAGGATATCAAAACATAATAAACGAGCAATTAATCGTATGAAGAGATTGATGGTTTTTATGTTATTTCTTGCTTTGTTAAATTAACTGTCCTGTCTTGATTTGACCTGGCATATTATTTAGATCCAGCAAGCAATAAGTACTAGATCGCACGAAGAAGAAGACCTTGCCTCGATGTATTGAACTAAAAAAGATATCTTTGAGTCATGGAGAGTGTTTTGTGAACCGTTTAGATGATGCTGAATCGCCGATGCTGAACGCTTGGGCCATATATGCAAGGTAACGACTATAGTGAATCCATGCCCATACCAGGCAGGGATACCTCGGGGTAGAGTATTTGTTGACATGAAATTGTTGTGAAGCATCTTGACAGACGATTTATTGCAAAACTTTGGCTTGCTATTATGATGGTATGCGAAATCATGCAAGAGGATGCAAAACTCATTGATCTAACATTTATGACGACACAAATAAACGTTATTCTTGGAAAAAATTGTGAGTTGGAGCTGTACTGTAAAATATGTTTCATTTACAAATTAAGCGCTTGAAATAAAATACGTGTGGGCTTTGTGAGTTCTGAGCCAGCTCTAAGACTTATTCCGGCTCGGAATCAAGCTTAGTATTAGTATTAGTATTAGTATTAGGGATTTCTGTGCGACGGAACTGTGGTTATGACATGATTTTTGAGATTATGAGCCACTATCCCCTGACACAATTAGGTAATGAAAAAGGTCACATGAGTTTCAGCATCAGCCGATTTCATCAGCCGCGACAATAATCACGTGCCTGATGGCGATGTCACTACATTTCGGTCGTGCGATCATTTTTTGGTTCGTATTCCTACCCGCCGTGGTTCTGAAGAACAAAACGGTCATTTTCCTCTAACGCTTGGCGGTCGAATTTCAGCAT